CTCTGCTTGCTTCAATAGTTGGGTCAGAGGTGGGAGGAGAGGTTTGGAGGGATACGGTTCAGGCAGCTCTGGGATTTCTGCTCTGGACAAGGAAGGAAGCCTAGCCAATTTGAAATAGAAGATCTATGATAGAGGCCCTAAAATTTAAAATGTTATTCCAACTTAAAAGGTAACGCTGCCATAAATTTAAAGCAGTAAATTATCTAGAGGCTGAGAAAGAAAGAAAGGGATTAAAATGCAGCAAGGGCTGGTGAGGTTACTCTAAGGCTCAGGAGGAAGAGTACATTTGTCACTGGAAAGCTGGGAGAGGAAACTCCAAACTGCCAAACTGCGTTTCTTGTGTTAAAATGAAAGAAAATTAAAGTCAGACACCAAAAGCTATGCAAGAGAACTGTATTGTAAGTGGAAGTAAAGTAAAAGCAAACTGAGGCTTAAGCAGAAAACACTGTCAAGATAGAGTGGGCTGTCTCCAAGGAGAGAACCACAAAGGAAGCAACTTATTAGTGTTTGGTGTTTACCAGAACTGGGGACCACATTCTGCACTCTTTGCCAATCAAGTGTTCAACTCCTTCACATTGGTGGGTGGAGTTTTTGACCTTAGTTGGCCCTCTCTGGAACTGTCATGGTGACTATCCTATTTAGGGGGACTTTATCTACAAGTCAATGCATGTTAATAATGGGCTTGGGATCAGTAGCTGGCCAGAAGTTATCTTAGTGCCACTGCACTACTAAAGGAATCTTCCTTCACAGATGAATGGAGACATCTATAGCCATAATTTCTAGCTTCACACCAACCTCAGTGGACTCTGTCAAGAGTTAGTCCCATTAATCCTTTTCTTTTGATGTATTTTCCCATTAGCCCTTTTGCTTCTGTTTATTTTCTACAAATTTGCTACCGCCCTTTGCTTTCCCATCCACTTTTAAAGTAGTTTAAAGAAGACCCTCAAGTAATTTAAACAACACCTATGACCTTGCCATGCATTTCAGTTCTCATTGCTTGGTACTGCCTAACACTGTGACCAAAAAGTCACCAGGAAGACCTAGAGAAGTGGTGGCATCCACATCCTTTATGGCCATTCATAAAAATGATAGACTGTAAACTAAACGAAAGAGATTCAGAAAGTGAACTCTTGGAGTGTGGTCTCTACAATATTGCATTGGGAGTGACTCAGGGTCTGGAATTAATATGTCCTCTCATTCAAGATAATTAAAGTCAAAAGATAATTTAATCCACATGTATATGTAATATATACTTATATATAATTAATATGTAAAGTATATGTTGTAAAAATATGTGAATATTACCTCTTTGGTCTCCATGATCTCATAATTTGACACCTAATTCATAGGATCTTTAAAGGATATTGATGTAGGAAAGAAACCACCAAGTGCATGGCAGTCATAAGGTAAAAGAAGCATTCTTATGCTTATCTCTTCTGAAGAGGTTTTAAATTCCTTGAGGGAAAATTTGCAATTTATCCACCTCTGTATCCTTAGCACTTACATTAATGTAGCTTAATAATTGCTTTTTTAACACATAAGGGAGGCATTCTCCATACAAAATCAGCAGAAGAGGAGTGATCGTGGAGGTACAAGAGTTACACCATGAAAGAAAAAAAGATGAATATTCGGTTTGGTTTGAAAAAAGTAGATACAATAACTGAGATTGATACATAACTTATTATATGCTAAAGACACAATATATCTTGTCTTAGCACAATATATTAACTTCACATTAACTTGGTTAATCTTGAAAGCAATTCTAGGACTCAGGAGCTATTGTCATCTGATTTTACAGATAAGAACCATGATGTATAAGCAGGGGAAATAACTTGTCTTAGATCCACAGTTCTAAATGGCAGAGTTGGGATTTGAACCCAGCTATGGCTTAATACCTTGGCTCCTGACCACTGCTACATACCCTGATCCTGGCTGGGACACTGTTACGTTTATTAGAGACATGAATGGTTTGACAAGGCTTGAGTATTTCAGAAAGTATAATGGGCACCTCACACTGATTTTGCATGTGAAAATGAATACTTATCAGAAGCTAATAGCTTGAGCGATGACTGCATTTCCTTTAAAGTTTGTTTTAACAGATTCTTCAACATACTGAAGGTTACTACTGTTTTGAATAATCAATGAGGTTAAATATAGAGTACTGTCTAACAGTGTCACTTATTTGAACAAGCTCTTAGAAATTCATTCAGAGGTAAAGCCTCTGGAATAGAACATTTTCAAAATATCTGAAAATGTTGTGTGTTGTGAATAATGTTAGTAATTAAAGATTTGGCAAGTGGATTCAAAAAATCTAAGGAAAATACATTTTAGTGCATTTCCTAAGGCAATTATCTAAATCTTACTAAGAATCATATATATGCATACAAATGTTTTGCCCTAGATATTAATTATAGAATTACAAAACTACATCTATCTTTTCCTTAATTCAATAGAAGACTCATTTACCAGGGTTGTGTAATCATAAGATAACCTGTTGATGAGATACAGAATAAATTCCTAATAAAAATATTGATGCTAATATTTTATTGTACATTTTGCTTAATTCATTAATGTGTGTATTTAAACACAATTCCAAGGGATTTCAAGGAAGCATATTTTAAATAGGAAGTGATCCAGAATTTTTGGATTCTACCATTAGGCTAGTTGCTTTATAATTTATATACTTTCCTCCTATTATCTTCATTTTAACAATGAGAGGATTGAAACTAAGAAAGGCCAAGGAGATTACTGGAAGTTACAATGCTAATCTTTGGTGGGTATGGGATGTTTCTCTCATTTGACACTTTAAAAAGCTGGTTTCTTTGTAGTATACATATTGTATTTATGTAAATATTATGATTTGTGTAAATATTATGATTTGTGTAAATCAGTTGTTTTTGTTGCTGTGACCAAAACACTTGAAACAAACAACTTGGATAAAGAAAGGTCCATTTTGACAGTTTTCAGAGCTTTCAATTCATGGTCAATTATCTCCATGGCTTTGGGCCTGATATGAAACACAGAATCATGGTAGCGGGGAAGTAGAGAGAGAAGTGAGGAAGGGGCCAAGGACAAGACACAGTCCCCAGCGTAATGCCCTTACTGACCTATTTCTCCATCATGCCCCACTTGCCTATGGTTTCCACCTTCTCCCTGTAGTACTTTCAATTATTAATCAATTAAATGGATTAATCCCTTGATACAGGTAAAGCCTTTTTTCAAAAGCCTGACTTCTGAATCTTGCCCCACATAGGACCAAATTTTCAACACATGGGCATATAGAGACTTTCCAGATCCAAACTATAACAAACATATTTAATGCTCCAAATTCATGGACAAAAAGAAATTGGATTTTTATCCTATTATCCTTATCTGCTAGTTAGAAAATAGGAGATATGGAATTCTATATATAGAATATTGTATTCTATAATATGCCCTAAGTCATAAAAACAAACTAACTATAAGGTGAGGAATAAAACCATGTTCTCCATGTTCTTTCCATCACATGACAATTGTTTTTCCTCAAAGTTGTATTATAGACCCTGTTTTTGCACCCGCTACCAAATAAATCATTTCCTATTTCCCAAAATATCTCCTTTGGAATAGTAAAGAAGGCTTTGGCCTGTGAATTATGCTAGTTTTTGGAAGCCAACCTTATAACTGTTATTGTATTTGTTATATGCTGATGTTATGCTACCTGATAAAATTTCTATTGATGATTACAAGATAATTATTCTTGTGTCATTATCATATTTTACGTCACACAATTTGGACTTTACATTATAGGCAATGCGGCAGCCCTGTAAAGATTACTGGCAGGACATGTTGGTACTGACCTTCATAATAGAAAGCTCTGAGAAAAGAAAGGGGAGGACAGGTGGAGGAAAAGCATTCTGGAGATAATGACACAAGAATGGAGGGCTTTTCAGCTATGTAGGGACGAGATGAGATGACAGCAAAGGAGGAAGGGTAGAGGATGGATTCAGGACATTCAAGAAGTGATGACATAAGGAAAATTAGCAATATTATGTTTCTGTTTTAGGGAAAAGAATGAGAATTTTACAAATTGAGTTTGGGACTTCAAGGGAGCTTTTGATGTAAAAAGAATGACTGATCAGAGACTAGTATTTAGGAGATAGGGTCTCTGGATTTCTTCTTCAAGGCACACAGTTCATCTGGCTTTATTTCTGCTCTTATGAATGTTTTAAGTCTTAAGAGTAAAATTGCCTATAATGCATTATTACTGAGTCCCTCGGAACAGGGAAACCATATAGAAAAGGGAAAAAAAAGTTTTTTCAACAGTAGATAAGCATGTTATTTTTTCATACAAAGATTAGCTTATGAACTAAAATTTGATGAGATTAGTCTTATTAACCCTGAAAAAAGGAGTATGAGCTATGAAACCAACCAGTCCTTATTTTTTATACTGATTTGATTAGGTAACATTAATAACTGTTTTGAGGTCTTGCTACTTATGAACTGTAATAAAGACATTGTCAATCTCATAAGAGATATAAAAATATAATTTCTATAGAGCAATACAGGTCCGAGGGTAGAATGTACACCTCAGAACTCTACCTACTATTATCAATTTGTCTTATTTCTCATAGGTTGAAATACATATGTAAAATGTATGGCTTTAAAAAGTATGGCTATCAACATGTATAATATTTATAATAAATAGGTTTGTAGAAACCTATAGTATTATCTTAATAGAGTATAAAGATAGTATCTGAATCAAATATCAGCATATGAGTCTAATCATTATAAGATATATTGTTATAAATGACATGTTATACATTACATTCTCAAAAATTAATGCTGATTTTATCCTGAAAAATCTCATAATCTCCTGACTGAGTCAGGTGCTTGAATCTGTTTTTAAAATAAGTCCTTCTTAAAATGAGGCATTCTTTTCAAACTGGCAAACCAAAAATATCAGGTTTTTAAAAACTCTTTTACAAATTAATAAAACAGTAAAAAGGAATAATGGAAAAATATTAGGTATAAAATTGTTCAATTTATTTATACAAAAAAAATATAAAGCAAATAAGACCGTCACTTATGATAAACATAGACACAAAACTTCAAATCATATTATCAGTTGCATCAAATTTGGAAGACACACATAATATTTCCAGTTTAGTACAACTTTACAAAACAAAATAAGTAAGGGAATTTGTCTTTGAGAGAACTGAAATTTTGACTTTGATTTTGGTACCCACATAGGGGAAGATGGAATTCTCAAAAGACAACTTTTATTTATTTTTTTTTACTTTTTTATGTCTTGTTTTGTTGTTAAGAAAAATGAAAACTAAAACCTTATTTTCACCCCATCATCTACAGTGATAAAAATTCCAAAGACTACACTCAAATACTTACTGAAACATTCACATACATATATGATTTCTTATCAAATACATCCTCTTATATAACTACAAAAAATTAAGATAAAAAAATTCACTTTCCTGAAGTTGCTCATTTCTCATAGACTACAGTGTTATCTTCTTAGCCCTGGAAAAGCAGTTTGAACACAAAGCCTCTTGACAAAATATCTGCTTTTTCAAAGATGTTAATTTAATATACAAGGAGAGAAAGGCCTCTGGGGAAAGAGGATAAAAGGAGTGAGGATTTCTAACTCCAGGCTCAGAGACCGGAATCAGAAAACCATTTAGTTTCCTTTACACTGCTGATTAAAGCCTTCATTTTAACCTTCATTATAAATGGAGTGCATTAATCCCTAAGCTGTTTTTAAACAATTAATATTAACCTTCTTCAATCCCATCCCTGATTCCCCAGAAAAGCAATAGTTGAATCGTATTTATTCAGTGTAATGGATCCGTATTTCATTTAAAACAGAACCATTTAAGCTTGTCTCTATTTATGTGAAACATAAACATCATGCTCATCTACATACATAATGCTACGACACAGAGAAATCACAGTTTGTAAAATAACACAGTCTTTAGCCGCATTGTTTTGAAGTACTGAGAAAGGGAAGAGATGCATGAGCCCTTTTAGAAAACAAATGACTTTGCTCCTAAAACAATCAAAGTAGTGTGTATAATACCTCATTCTGCTAAAATAGTTTGGAGAATCATAAGTAGCTGGTGCATAGTTCCTGTAATTAAGCTTAGGCAGTTAAAAATGTTAAGTCAAGGTTCTCTGGGGTTCCATTTTTAGAAAGTAGTGGACATTCTAGTCATTCGCATGGATTTATAGTTAAATTTAGAAGTCATGAACAACTACACATACTGACTTTTGGAGTATATGCTCGGAGACTTCTTTTCCATGTGAAAGCTCTTCTGAGTGGTGCGGTGAGATGGTATTGAGTATCTGTAGCTACTGCTCTTTTCAGTGCCACAGAAGACACAGCAGAATAGTGCCCCTCCAGCAATCAGCACCAGGGCTGTGGTCCAACCTATGTAGAGGGCTTCTCCCAGCTCACGTTTCTGGGCAGCGTCCACTATGGGGTTGTAGAAGTCTCTGATGATGGAATTGGCAACCCAGCTCACAGGGATGAGCACCACCATGCCTGTGACAATGAAGATGATTCCAGCCGTTAGCAGGATGCGACTCTTCACGTTCTCGTTGTCCCCAGTACACCTGGTACACTTCATGCCAAGGATGGCTGTCATAAAAGCCAGGAAGGACAGTACAGAAGCTGCACACATTAATCCTCTGGAAGCCTGTAGGTCTGGAGAAAGAGCCAGCAGGGAATCATAGACTTTGCATTGCATCCTGATGTTGGCATGCCTCATGCAGTTCATCCACAGTCCTTCCCAGAGGTTTTCAAACACCACAATGTTGCTTCCAATGAAGGCAGACACCCTCCACTGAGGCATGATGGTGACAGCCACTGTGCCCACCATGCCAACTCCACCAAGCACCAGTCCAGCGATTTGCAGAGCGTAGGTTGCCATCGTCCTCTCAAATGAGATTTATCCGACTGGAATCCTGAGCCTGTGAGGCTGCTCTGGAGTAAGGCTCTCTGTGCCTCCGAAGAGAACAGCTTTCCTGTAGAAATGAACTCAGAACCCAGTGGTTTTTCAAATAAGAGCTGCTTTGCTATTTCTAGCTAGACTAAATCCAGTGTTGGCTGGTGAGGTGCCCCCCCTATTGACTCCAACAGGTAAGCTTGCAAATCAGGTGTGGCAACTTTCTTGGCCAATAAGAGGGGGATGGTAACTCAGGTGTGTCTAAACCAAAGAGAGATACTTGGAACAGTTGGACCTGCACATAAACATTCTTTGTACTTCTCAGTTTTCCAAGAAGGCATCAGCATGTTTACCTATAGGCATAATTACAAATGTTTGCACAATCATCAAGAAGTGAGCCAATGTCTTGCAACATGAAAGCTGCACTTTGAACGGGTAATTCTGAAACCCTTGGTAAAAGCTGCTTTGACTAAGGGATAAAATTAAGTATCCGCCAGAGAAATCTGAAAGGACTGTTAAAATGCCAAAGTGAAAGGAGAGTAAGGGATTGATAGATTGTTCATACTTGGGAGACCACATTCTTTGGAACACATGTGATCCAAGGGGTTGATTTAATTTGTCTACAACTTTAAAGCAAGCTGTACTGGAGGGAGATCAGGGAACAAACCATGCCAAAGGACAAATAAGACTAAAGCAAAAATTAAATACAGGAGACTGTCCTCCTCCTTGGCACCAAATGCCTATTGTTTTCTTTTAAGCCAAGAAAAATTACTTGTTGATATTTTTGATGATCCTCTTTATAAGAAAAAAATGCAAACAATAAAAATTAAATAAAGGATCCAGATGCTTTTCTGGTGATGCAAGTACCACAGCACTTGAATGGAGTGGGTTACAGCTTGCTTCCTTGGTGACTTATTTCATGGCTGTCTTTAGACCTTTGTCTTTCTAAGATGAAGGAACTAGAATTCTGCAGATGGTCCAAGGATCTTATCTCTATGCAGATGGCCAGTGTTTCTAAACAAAATATTTACTGGATAAGGCAACTATATTCATTGAACTAAATTATAATCAGTTGCTAGCCAAACTGTCTTTCTTATGTATAACACTAGATTTCAGAAAAACATAGAAGCCTCTAAATGTGAGTTAACTTGAACCACGTCGTTTCAAAGTAATGATTACAGTGGCACTAAAATAAGCACACCCATTGATTTTTCTTCTGTCACCTTGGGCTCTCTGTTCTGTCTTCAAGTTGCACTTCAATTTCTTTCCACCTTAGCATCATAATACAATCTTCCTTTATGACTTTACTTCCTCTCTGATTCCTTGTACTAACTTAAATACAAATATGTGAGAAAATGTTTTCTACGCACTTGTTAAACCTTGACAAAGTTTAATGTTTAACAAAATGTAAGTGGTTTAGGGAGATCATTGAAACAATAACAACAACAGAAATGTTCAGGGTTGGAATGGATAGAGGAAGTTGCCAAAGTAAATTTTCTTTAAAGAAAAATAAAGGGGGTGGGTGAGGAGGTAATATAGCATCCAGGTTATTAATATTTTATTACACTTGATAGTTAAAAAATTAAAACTTGGTATTTATAGTAATTTCCTCATTTATTAATCTGCTTAAGAGCAAAACTTCTTATCTTGGTGTAGACAATAGCATTCTTTTCATTAGGTCTGTATCATTTACAGATTCGTATAGAGAAGGAAATATGTTCATCTATGAACAGTAATCTGTAAACCACAAAAGGTGGCTTGAAATAGAAAATACAGACAATTTTAATCTTTAATTGTCAATTTGGGAAAGGAGAATGACTAAAATAATTGAAAAATTAAAAAAGGAATCATATAATTAGTTGAGATCGTGAAAAACAAATATGTACATATAAATACATGTTTATGTATGTACATACACACATGAGAGAAAGAATTTATCTTCTAAATTCCTGTTAGTATACTTTGTAGGAGCTGTTGAAATGTTGTAGTAACTCCACATCAACTTGGAAAAACACCGGGCAGATAAAGGTGTCCTGAGTCTGAATACCTGGCCTTGGTTGAAGCTACCTCCCAGGCAGTATCCATTACCTCTTGGCTCTGTGTAAACCTAACCTCTCTTTCCTTAGTATTCAGCTTTACCAGGAAGTCATCTCATGCAAAAATATTTTCCTCATTTCAAAGCTACTAAGAATTTTGCTGATGAAATTCTTCCTAGTCAAAAGATTGAGATCACAATGAAAAATTAAGACTAGGTTCATATTAGAATAATTATAGAGTTAACTGCCCTAGCAGGAAGTAGCCCAAGGCATCCAGGTAAGTGAGACAAAGATCCAGTTAACCCCATGAGATTTTGAAACAGGCATGCCCTAAAGGTCAGAGAAATGAGACAGGAAGAAATGGTAATGGCGAGTTTGCTGGAGTCACTCTGAATTTCAGATTTGTTGTTTACCTGCTTTTTTGTCCTACTGAGCTGATTAAGTTGGCCACAAAATTCATGTAGCATTGATGATTAGAAATTTAGCACATGGATAATGTTGTGCAATTCTTTAATTTAGTACTGCAAAGCACCCCATGCAGCTTATATAAATAGTTTTTTCCATTTCTATGGAGAAACAGAATACTACAAAGAACTCAAGAAAGGAGTGAGTGTCCATGTTGACACACTATGCTCTCTCTCCGTTGGGTCTATCTTTAGTCTATATAATCAGAAGATGGCTTGAAGTTTAGTGATTAAATTTACTAGATTGAACCCAGTGCTGATAACTATACAACACATGCAAATTCTTTCCCTTTAAAATGGTGACACACAATATCACTATTGTTCCTGTTTTTGCCACCTTTATTTTTATTTACACTCAATAATCTTTAACCTAATGCAACTCTTCAGTCTCAGGTTCCTATTAACTCTTATCTCTGTTTGAAATAATTATAGCTTCTGTCTATCAAACAATTGCCATTTTTTTCTTGTTTTCCAAGTTGGTTTTTGTACTTCTGTGTTATGTTGACAGTTTTCAAACCATATTTATTTTTAATTATTGTTCACTGTTAATTAACTGTACTTGGCTGACCATTGTGTCCTGAGAAAGCAAGTGAAACATGTCAATAGATCTCTTTGTTTTTTGTTCCTAAAATAATATTGTGTATTGCTACATGGTTTCTTAAACCACCAACCTATTTGCTGTCTCTTTCTTTCTCTGTCTCTCTTTTTCTCAGTGCTGTAGATGGAACCAGGGCCTTGTGCATGTCAGGACATTGTTCTACCACTGTGCTACATTTCTACCCCTACTTTTCCTTCTGAATCGCCAGTTGTCCTTCAGGTACTCTGTTCTCCAAGACGTCTATATCCATTAGCAGTCTTCCAGCTCTCAATAATTCCATTTCAATTGCTTTGTTTAAAAGTAGACTCTTGCTTGTATAGAAATTAGCAAGTTTCTCAGCCAGTTCAGGATACTTTGACAAAGTACAATAGACTGCTGGATTTAAACAGCAGAAATTAATCTCTCAATCTTCTGGAGGCTAGAAGTCCAAGATCAGGGTGCCAGCATGACCAATCTCTGGTGTAGGCCTTCTTACTGACTTATAAAAGGCTTTTTGTTGTCTTCAGATGGCGGAAGAGAAAGTGAGCTCTCTAGTTGCTTTCTCTTCTTATAAGGACTCTAATAATTGTGGGAGCTCTGTCCTCATCAGCTCATTCAAACCTAATTGCCTCCAAAAACCTCACTCCCAAATATCATCACATTGGGTGTTTGGGTTTCAACATCAGAATCTGGGTATGGGGAGCACAAGCATGCAGTCTAGAACGTCCAGCTGCTAACAAATCCAAGCAATTAAATTCACAAAATTCTGAGTCATTTATTTTTATTACCTCAGGAGTTCCCTTGCATTAATGAATATATATATATATGTGTATATATATATATATATTTTTTTTTTCCTAGCATTAAAAAGTGATAAACATAAAAATTGAGTCATGGAAATAGTGATCATTGAAAGGATTTGTTCTTTCTACATTTTCATTTTTTGAAATTAAAATTTGATCATATGTTAAATCCTGATATGATCTGGGAGACTGTGTGCTCTTGTGAATGCTGTTTTTAATATCTCTACTAAGGGACTGGAAATCCAGGGAAATAGTTGATAGAAAAAATATATATATGAAATGTGAAATTTTTTTCCCCTCTAAACTAATGAGTAATTTTCAGTAACAGAATTAATGTGAAGCATCCTAATCCTGTGATTTGGGGGAGATTTTTAAAAAGGAAGTAGAATTACTGTTGATGGCAGCAGCTATGAAGTACTGGATGTCCCCTACACATTGGTTGCATATATACTTCTACCTTATATAATACACCCCTGACTATCAGGAGGTATTAGCTCCCTTTTATAATTCAATAAATTAAAATAAGAGAGAACATGACTTTTCAAAGATAGATTTTGCTTGTGAAATCTACAGTTCTTTCCTGAATTAACTACTATCCCCTCTTCCCTGCCTCCAAAGAAATTAAAGAGAATTTGTGTCTGTGTGTGTGGTGGTGGAGAGGTATAAGGGGTGGAATGCAGCGATGTTCTACTACAGGTAGACATAATTAGCTCATTTAATTCTTTTTTTTTTTTTAATTTTTAAAGAGGGTCTTCAAAAATTGCCCATGCTGACCTCCAAATTGCTATCCTCCTGACAGCCTCCTGAGTCTTTTGGATCGCAGGTGAACATCAACACATCCCCCAGAGAAAGGGAATATTTTAGATTAATATATATAATCAGAATTAATGATGAAATGAAATCTGTTCAACATTTTTCTTTGCACAACACATTGCTATAAACAATTTGTATTTCTAAGCTTCATAACTAAGGTTTGAAATATAATTTTTTTTTAGATGCTCTATTCAAAGAAGTTAAAATTGGGAAAATCTTGTAAACCATACTATAGTTATTCCTTATTTAGAGCTTGACAGAGTCCCATGCTGAAGTTAGCATTGGTGCCATTTCTCAATCTTCCATTCTTGTTCCCTCTTGAAAGCTCCTTATTACACTCTAGGTCTTGATACTTCATGAACTGACCTCATGCATTTGGTTAAAGAAGGCAATAAACAAATTCAGTGCAATGAAGTATCAGTGCCCTCAGTACACAGG